GGCCTTGTGTTATGCTTGAGCGTAAGTAGCTTCAGGATCACTTCTTGATCACTTCTAGCTTCACGACCGTTGCGTTGCTTCTCTTCTCGCTCTTATTTGCGTATGTTAGCCACCATATATGCTTAGTGCTTGCTGCAGCTCCACCTCTTTACCTTATCCTACCCATAAGCTTAAATAGTCTTGATCTCGCGGGTGTGAGATTGTTGAGTCCTCGTGACTCACAGATACTTCCAAACAATTGTAGGTGACGATGATACCAGTGCAGGTGACGCAACCGAGCTCAGGTGGGAGCTCGATGAAGATCTTGGTCGTTGTTATGTGTCTTTTCCGGTTGATCAGTAGTGGAGCCCAGTTGGGACGATCGGGATCTAGCATTTGGGGTTGTCTTCCTTTATTTTGGTTCCGTAGTCAGACCTTTGTTTGTACTTTGGATGATGTATGATTTATTTATGTATTGTGTGAAGTGACGATTGTAAGCCAACTCTTTATCCCTTTCTTATTCAGTACATTGGATGTGTGAGGATTACCCCTCTTGCAACAAAACTACCATACGGGTATGCCTCTAAGTCATGCCCCAACATGTGGGAGATATAGCCGCATTGTGGGTGTTACAGAGATGGTCCTTGGTTGATTTATAGAATGCTCATTGCACTTCACTTATATCTTTTGAGTATGGCTTTATAGAATGCTTCATGTGCTTCACTTATATCATTTGAAGTTTGGATTGCATGTTTCTCTTCGCATAGAAAACCGCCATTTATAGATGCTATTTTGCTTCACTTATATTTGTTAGAGCGTGGGCATATCTTTTGTAGAAAGAATTAAACTCTCTTGCTTCACTTATATCTATTTAGAGAGATGACAGGAATTGGTCATTCACATGGTTAGTCATAAAATCCTACATAAAACTTGTAGATCATTGAATATGATATGTTTGATTCCTTGCAATAGTTTTGCGATGGTGATATTAGAGTCATGCTAGTGGGTAGTTGTGGATTGTAGAAATACTTGTGTTGAAGTTTGTGATTCCTGTAGCATGCGCGTATGGTGAACCGTTATGTGATGAAGTCGGAGCATGATTTATTTATTAATTGTCTTCCTTATGAGTGGCGGTCGGGGACGAACGATGGTCTTTTCCTACCAATCTACCCCCTAGGAGCATGCGCGTAGTACTTTGTTTCGATGACTAATAGATTTTTGCAATAAGTATGTGAGTTCTTTATGACTAATGTTGAGTCCATGCATTATACGCACTCTCACCCTTCCATCATTGCTAGCCTCTTCGGTACCGTGCATTGCCCTTTCTCGCCTCGAGAGTTGGTGCAAACTTCGCCGGTGCATCCAAACCCCGTGATATGATACACTCTATCACACATAAGCCTCCTTATATCTTCCTCAAAACAGCCACCATACCTACCTATCATGGCATTTACATAGCCATTCTGAGATATATTGCCATGCAACTTCCATCATCATCATATACATGACTTGAGCATTCATTGTCATATTGATTTGCATGATCATAAGATAGCTAGCATGATGTTTTCATGGCTTGTCCGTTTTTTTATGTCATTGCTATGCTAGATCATTGCACATCCCGGTCCACTGCTGCAGGCATTCATATAGAGTCATATCTTTGTTCTAGATATTGAGTTGTAAGTAAATAAAAGTGTGATGATCATCATTATTAGAGCATTGCCCCAGTGAGGAAAGGATGATGGAGACTATGATTCCCCCACAAGTCGGGATGAGACTCCGGACGAAAAAAAGAGAAAGGCCAAAAAAAAGGGAGGCCCAAAAAAATATGAGAGAAAAAGAGAGAAGGGACAATGTTACCATCCTTTTACCACACTTGTGCTTCAGAGTAGCACCATGTTCTTCATATAGAGAGTCTCTTGAGTTATCACTTTCATATACTAGTGGGAATTTTCATTATAGAACTTGGCTTGTATATTCCGATGATGGGCTTCCTCAAATGCCCGAGGTCTTCATGAGCAAGCAAGTTGGATGCACACCCACTTAGTTTCAGTTTTAGATTTCATACACTTATAGCTCTAGTGCATCTGTTGCATGGCAATCCCTACTCCTCGCATTGACATCAATTGATGGGCATCTCCATAGCCTGTTGATTAGCCGCGTCGATGTGAGACTTTCTCCCTTTTTTGTCTTCTCCACACAACCTCCACCATCATATTCTATTCCACCTATAGTGCTATATCCATGGCTCACGCTCATGTATTGCGTGAAAGTTGAAAAGGTTTGAGAAATGTCAAAAGTATGAAACAATTGCTTGGCTTGTCATCGGGGTTGTGCATGATTTGAATATTTTGTGTGATGAAGATGGAGCATAGCCAGACTATATGATTTTGTAGGGATAACTTTCTTTGGCCATGTTATTTTGAAAAGACATGATTGCTTTATTAGTATGCTTGAAGTATTATTGTCTTAATGTCAATGATAGACAATTGCTTTGAATCACTCGTGTCATATTCATGCCATGATTAGATATGTGATCAAGATTATGCTAGGTAGCATTCCACATCAAAAATTATCTTTTTTATCATTTACCTACTCGAGGACGAACAGGAATTAAGCTTGGGGATGCTGATACGTCTCCGTCATATCTATAATTTTTTATTGTTTCATGTCAATATTATACAACTTTCATATACTTTTGGCAACTTTTTATACTATTTTTGGGGACTAACATATTGATCCAGTGCCCAGTGCCAGTTCCTGTTTGTTACATGTTTTTTGTTTCGCAGTAAATCTATATCAAACGGAGTCCAAACGGGATAAAAACTGATGGAGATTTTTTTGGAATATATGTGATTTTTGGGAAGAAAAATCAACGCGAGACGATGCCCAAGGGGGCCACGAGGCAGGGGGCGCGCCCTGGACCCTCGTGGCCACCCCGTAAGGCGGTTGGTGCCCTTCTTTCACCACAGGAAAGCTAATATCCGGATAGAGATCATGTTAAAATTTCAGTCCAATCGGAGTTAATGATCTCCGGGAATATAAGAAACGGTGAAAGGGCAGAATCTGAGAACGCAGAAACAGAGAGAGACAACGAGACAAATCCAATCTCGAAGGGGCTCTCGCCCCTCCCACGCCATGGAGACCATGGACCAGAGGGGAAACCCTTCTCCCACCTAGGGAGAAGGTCAAGGAAGAAGAAGAAGAAGGGGGGCTCTCTCCCCTTCGCTTTCGGTGGCGCCGGAACGCCGCCGGGGGCCATCATCATCACCGTAATCTACACCAACGCCTCCGCCATCTTCACCAACATCTCCATCACCTTCCCCCCTCTATCTACAGCGGTCCACTCTCCCACAACCCATTGTACCCTCTACTTAAACATGGTGCTTTATGCTTCATATTATTACCCAATGATGTGTTGCCATCCTATGATGTCTGAGTAGATTTTTGTTGTCCTATCGGTGATTGGTGAATTACTATGATTGATTTAATTTTCTTGTGGTTATGTTGCTGTCCTTTGGTGCCCATCATATGAGCGCGCACGTGGATCACACCATAGGGTTAGTTGTATATTGATAGGACTATGTATTGGAGGGCAAGAGTGACAGAAGTTTCAACCTAGCATAGAAATTGATGCATACGGGATTGAAGAGGGACCAATTTATCATAATGCTATGGTTGGGTTTTACCTTAATGAACGTTAGTAGTTGCGGATGCTTGCTAATAGTTCCAATCATAAGTGCATAGAATTCCAAGTCAGGGATGCCATGCTAGCAGTGGTCTCTTCCACATAAAACTTGCTATCGGTCTAGTAAAGTAGTCAATTGATTAGGGACAATTTCGCAACTCCTACCACCACTTTTTCACACTCGCTATACTAACTTTATTGCTTCTTTATCTAAACAGCTCCTAGCTTTTATTTACGTGCTCTTTATTATCTTGCAAACCTATCCAAAAACACCTACAAAGTACTTCTACTTTCATACTTGTTCTAGGTAAAGCGAACGTTAAGTGTGCGTAGAGTTGTATCGGTGATCGATAGAACTTGAGGGAATATTTGTTCTACCTTTAGCTCCTCGTTGAGTTCGACACTCTTACTTATCGAAAACTGTTGCGATCCCCTATACTTGTGGGTTATCAGATCCCCACGCCCGCCGCCGCCCTCTGCTCCAGCGAGCGTGCTTCCCTGATACCAGCGACCATCGAGTCATCTGCCCACTCCCTATTCACCAGCACAACCCTACTCCTTCTTGGCCATTCCTCGCCAAACCCAGCCGCGGGCTCCGGCGTGTCGCTCGAGCCACCTCGATGTGTCACCAATCTCGCACTCCGCCGTGCCGCTTGAGCTACCTCGTCGCGCCTGACCCTGACGGATAAGAGAGCGGGAGAGATGGAGAGAATGACAAAAATAAATTTATTGACCCAATGACAATATTAGGAATTTACTGGGGAGTTGCGAAAGCACCCTGTACATATTTCTAGAAAAACTATTGAGACAACTCTAATAATACCCTATGAAAGAGATGATTTACTAGTAACTGTTGAAATAATAAATACTTCCTCCTCTTAGTATGTTTATTCACTCATTTCTGTCTCCATGCAGTCTACATTAAAATATCAAAAACATCTTCCTTTCATCTTTGCCTCACAGGAGATGATTTACTAGCAACCGTTGAAGATTGTAAACGAAGGGAGCAGTAAACCACAGGGCAGCAGAAGCTGCCGTGCAATTCCATTTATCTTTGCTTTTGGTTGGCCGACTAGCAGCGAAAGGAAGCTTCAGAAGAAAGGCAGCATAATAAACGCGGTGCACAGCGACAGAGCGTTGCGGTCTTGCAGACTAAGACTACACACTTTACACGAAACCCCTCGTAGTTCTTCGTCCTCCCAAGCTTCCCCACACCCCGCTCCTCCCCTCTCTGTCCCCCCTCGTCCCCAATCTCGCGCGACGCCACCAAACCCTAGCCCCCAAATCGCTCGCCGGGGAGAGGGAGGCCGGAGACGGGCACCGCTCGCCGGCGCCGATGGAGGTGAAGCTGTGGAACGACAAGCGCGAGCGGGAGCTCCTGGAGAGCCTGGCGGACCTGTACGCCATCATCAAGGCCACGGAGAAGCTGGAGCGCGCCTACGTCCGCGACCTCGTCTCCGCCGCCGACTACGAGGCCGACTGCCTCAAGCTCATCTCCCAGTTCAACTCCCTCTCCTCCTCCCTCGCCGGGGTCGTCACCATCCCGCGCTTCGTGCAGGCCTACCGCCTCGACTGCCCCGCCGCCCTCAACCGCCTCGTTCAGTCCGGCGTCCCCGCCACCATCGAGCTCCGAGCCGCCACGGCGTCCTCCTCCGCGCCGGCCGCCACCGCGGCCTCCGCCTCCGCCATCGCCCAGTGCGTCCAGAGCTTCATCACCGCCATGGACGCCGTCAAGCTCAATATGCTCGCCAACGACCAGGTCCGCCCCCTGCTCCACGACCTCTCCACCTCCATGGGGAAGCTCGGTACCGTCCTGCCGCCCGACTTCGAGGGGAAGGTCAAGGTGAACGAGTGGCTCGCGAAGCTGCATAAGATGGGGGCCGGGGACGAGCTCACAGATCAGCAGGCCAGACAGCTCAATTTTGATCTGGAATCAGCGTATAGTGCGTTTATGGCCTCGCTTCCCACTGCTGGCCTGTGAACAATGATCGGCTTGGTTCAGAGTTGGTTCTTCTTTCTGTTTTGTCATGCTCTTGTCTTGCAATGGTATACATATGTGTAATTTGGCTCAAGCTATATCGTTTGTCGACAACAATGCCAATCTTATGGAAAGTTGCCCCCTACAGATCGATTGTTTCATACTGATTATAGGGACCCTTGATTGTATTCAGCGTACAGTGTGTTTATGGCCTCGCTTCCACTGCTGTTTGTGATCAAAGGATTGGTTTTGCTCTGAGCTGTTCCTATGTTTCTACTTTGTTACGATGTTGTCTTTTGATCACTACTGTGGGTGCTATATATGTGTAATTTGGATTGTGTTCTATTCTTTGTCAATAACAGAGCGAATTTTATGAAAAATCCCCAGATGGATTCTGTTGCATAATTATTATATGCGGTGTGATGTTTCTCCGTGATGTCCATCAATGGTAGAATGCTTGCCTTTGTCCTTTCTATTGGATATATGTTTCTACTCCGTCAATAATACGGAGCAATAAGTGTCAGTTTATATTTCAGTGTCCTGGTGATATTATGATCTTTCAATTACAAGAACAATCTTGTTTTATTCTAGGGCAGTTGGAGCTGATTGCATTAGTGTTTTTAGCTTTGTGGACTTGCTTATCCTGGACTGGTGCAAAGATACATGGATGTTCAGTTATGAAAATACAAGTCATGATGTGTCTACACTTGGGTTTAACCAGACTGCATCATTGATTTGATAGTTTTGTATGGATAGTGTATTCCAACTCTGTACTTCTCGATGTCAATAATGGTTTTGTAAGGTTTGCTTCTGAATTGTTCCTTTCTTTGTACTGTGTGGTCGTTGGATCAGTACTGCAGTGCCATCCATATGTGTAATTTGGATTATACTCTGTTGTTTGTCAACGATAAAAATGCTATTTTTTGTGGCTCGATGGATTCTGTTGCATATTGGCTATATGCGGTACAATTGTACAGTGTTGGTTTGTGATGTCCATTCAATGTAGAATGCTTGCATATGCCTGCTAATCTACCAATTCTTCCTTCAGAAATGATAACTAACTCTCCCTCCGATCCATATTAGTTGTTGCTGAAATGAATGTATCTTAGATGTATTTCAGTGCTAGATACATCTGTTTAAGCGACAACTAATATGGATCGGAGGGAGTAGAACATGTGCCTGTAATGCAGGTTATTTCTCTTAACATGCGTATTCCTTAAACTGGCTCACTTGTGTGCTTTCTTCCTTTACCAAATAGACATCCAAAATCTCTAAACAGGGTTATGTTTTATGAATGTAAATGTTATTTTTCTGATCTTTTGCTGTTCTTCCGTAATTTTTCTGAACTTTGGAAGCTGAATAAATTTTCAGATATTTTAACATGCCAAATTTGTTCCAGTTGAAAATCAATTCGAGTGCTATTTTCAGATGTGAACCTCAGATCATCTACTGAGTTATATGTGTGGGGAACAAAAAAAAGCTAATTATTATTCTGACATGCTTGGCAGGACATTTTTCCCAGGCTCATCTCACCTTCCTCTGGTTTGCGTTTTCACGGAACCCAGTCCGATGGTGAATCATATCATCTAGTTTGGATTTCCTGTAGCCGAAGACCAATAGAGTCATATTTTATTCTTGCTCATAGCTTTCTGAACTGAAACATAGTACTTGGAAAGTGTGAAGCCAGTGATAGTGAGGAAGAATAAAATGGTAGAAGCAGGTAACGTAAGCCACCAGTTCATTGACTTTGTTGGTTTTGATGTGCTAACACCAGGTCCATTATCACCATCTGATTATTTGAAACTACAAAATTATGTCAAGGGTGCTCTTTGAACGAGTATTTTCATAGTTTCATAACATGAATGAACTGTCACTTGTTTTTATTTTATCGGTTGTAGCCTAGGCCACTTGCACATTTTTTATTGATTAGAGAGCTATCCAAAGTGGTTACTGTTTAGTTTTTTAGCGGATCCAGCTCAGTTCAATTTAAGAAAAGATAAGTAGCTGGATCAGAGCTGTGTACATGGGATCATATCAATAGTCTTGTTGGCCTGCTGCTTGGAGAGTTCTGCATCTCATTTCTCTTGTAATACAACACTAGCTCCAACCGGCCTCTCCAGCAACCTTGCATCCGCCATCTTTGCCATGCCGCTCCAGTAATTCTGAAGAAAACCTGCCCTTTGTGTTGTGTTTATTTTCCCTTTGCAGTTTGCTAATTTATCTGTCATTTCCCACTTCTACAGGTTTTTCATCCGTTTCTGCCTTCACCACGTGTTTACACCTCCAGAAGTCCCTTTGCCGTTTTAACTTGTTAGGTTCCCCCCTCTTTATCTCTTTTTTACCTCTAGAAATACTTCTGTGGCAAAAAAGGAGAAAGAAAAACCTACCCTTTGTGCTGTGTTTCTTTTCCCTTTGCAACACTTATTGATCTATTGTTTCCCACTTCTACAGGTTTTCATACATTGCTGCCTTCACCGACAGTTTGCCCCTCCAGAAGCACTTCTCCTACCCTTTATTCATTTCTTTGGGTCATTCCATACCCAAAAAGACAACAAGTCAAAAGCAAGAGGGGAAAAAGTTCTTGCTCCTGTTTACCGTGATCTACCTGTTAATTTTCTGCTCATTTCCCCTGAATAAATGCTTCTTCATCTCCTCCTGCATCCAACTATCAACTATCCAGTAGCCACAACCACAACCCCCATAAAAAGGAAAGAGAGAGAAAAAAAATCTGTCATTGGAGTTATTTTACCTGCTTGCCTGTTTATATCCTAGCTTTCCCCCATTTTGTGTCTTTTGTCTTTACACTACCCAATTCCTTGCATTCTCAGAAGTCAAGAAGCAGAAAAATACCCCCCAAAATTTTGCAAATCCATGACGGGGGTGGCGCTGGTTGGTTTGCAATTGGCAGCATCACCGATCCTGAAGAAGCTCCTCGTGGATGCTTCAACATACCTTGAGGTTGACATGGCGAGCGAGCTCCATGAACTGGAGACCACCATCATGCCGCAGTTCGAGCTGATGATTGAAGCAGCTAACAAGGGCAATCGCAGGGTCAATTTGGACAAATGGGTCCAGGAGCTCAAAGAAGCCTTCTACAAAGCCGAAGACCTGCTGGACATGCATGAGTACGACATCCTCGAGCGCAAAGCAAAGAGTGGGAGAGATTCCTCGCCACCCCGTGCCTCATCAATCAGCACTATTTTGAAGCCTCTGCGTGCTGCTTCTAACAGGTTATCTAATCTCCTCCCAAAGAACAAGAAGCTACTTCACCAGCTGAATGAACTGAAGGCCATTCTGGTGAAAGGCAGGGAGTTGCGTGAACTTCTTTGCGTACCAGTCGGTAACAGTACAGAGAGCCCCATCATTGTTCCTCAGGCCACATCATTACCACCTTTGAAAGTAATAGGTCGTGACAAGGATCGTGATGATATAATAAACCTTCTTACCAAGCCGGCTGCTGTTGAGACCAATTCAGCTGTATATGCGGGTTTGGCCATCGTCGGAGCAGGAGGTATGGGAAAATCCACCTTGGCACAACATGTTTACAATGACAAGACGGTACAAGAACATTTTGATATCAGGATGTGGGTGTGCATCTCACGCAAACTTGATGTCCATCGTCATACACGGGAGATAATCGAATCCGCAGCTAAGAAGGAGTGCCCACGTCTTGATAATCTGGATACTCTCCAGTGCCAATTAAGGGACATACTGCAAAAATCAGAGAAATTCTTGCTTGTATTGGATGATGTCTGGTTTGATGATTTGAGTAGTCAGATGGAATGGGACCAACTGTTAGCTCCTCTAGTTTCTCAGCACAAGGGAAGCAAAGTCTTGGTAACTTCTCGTCGGGATACATTTCCTTCCGCTCTTTACTGTGAAAAGGTGCTCCGTTTGGAAAGCATGAAAGACACTCAGTTCTTGGCACTCTTCAAATACTATGCCTTCACTGGAGCACAAATCAGAGATCCTCCCTTGCTTGCAAGGCTAGAAGAGATTGCAGAGGAGATAGTTAAGAGGCTTGGACAGTCTCCTTTGGCTGCAAAAGTTGTTGGTTCCCAGTTGAAAGGGAAAATGAATGTCCCTGCCTGGAAAGATGCTCTGACTTTAAAGATTGACAACTTAAGTGAGCCCAGAACAGTGAAAGATATGAAGCGTTCCTACTCCATCGAGGGAGCCGCGTGGTAGTTTATATTGATGCGTGGCCGAAGCCTGGCTTGACGTACAAGGTTATGACAGAAGGAGTTTGGGTAGAATACAAGAGAAGGAAGGAGGTTGAGATTACAACTCTATATTCTAACACCCTCCCTTAATCTCAACTAACCTAAGTTAAGATTACTCTTGAATTCTTCAAATGGTCTTGCTGGTAGTGCTTTTGTAAAACCGTCAGCCACTTGATCCTTAGAAGGAATAAATCGAATCTCAAGTTTCCTTGCCGCAACCCTTTCTCGTACAAAGTGAAAATCAATTTCTATGTGCTTTGTCCTGGCATGAAACACTGGATTTGCAGACAGATATGTTGCTCCCAAATTATCACACCATAAACATGAGATACGATTCTTCTTGATTCCCAATTCCTCAAGAAGTGATTCAACCCAAATGATCTCAGCAGTTGCATTAGCCAAAGACTTGTATTCAGCTTCTGTACTTGAGCGTGACACAGTAGCTTGCTTTCTAGCACTCCAGGAGATAAGATTAGATCCAAAGAACACTGCAAAACCTCCAGTTGATCTTCTGTCATCACTACATCCTGCCCAGTCAGCATCAGAGAATGCACTCACAAGAGAAGAATTAGACCGTTTGAAATGAAGTCCTATTCCCATAGTATGTTTCACATATCTCACAATCCTCTTGACAGCTGACCAATGTGCAGAAGTAGGTGCATGAAGATATTGACAAACCTTGTTGACAGCAAATGAGATATCTGGACGTGTGAGAGTTAAATATTGTAGTGCTCCCACAGTACTCCTATACCTTGTACTCTCCTCCTCTTGAAGTGGCTCACCCTCATATGCTGAGAGACTTTCTGAGGAGGATAAAGGTGTAGACATTGGCTTGCAATTTTTCATCCCCATGCGAGACAGAAGCTCAAGAATATATTTTTCCTGATTTAATACAATACCATCTTGAGTTTTCTTGACTTCAATACCCAAGAAGAAATGCAAATCACCTAGGTCCTTTAAGGCAAACTCTGAGCTCAAATCATGCAAAAGAGCATTAGTAGCATTTTGTGAAGAACTTGCAACTATGATATCATCAACATATATAAGCACAAAAATGACTACTCCTGCCTTGTTATAAATAAACAAGGATGTGTCAGCCTTGGAAGCAACAAAGCCAAGATATTTTAACTGTGAGCTCAATCTGGAATACCATGCTCTGGGTGCTTGCTTTAGACCATAGAGTGCTTTATCAAGCTTGCAGACATACTGTGGCAATTTCTTACTCTCATACCCAGGTGGTTGTCTCATAAACACTTCCTCTTCCAGAACACCGTGCAGAAACGCATTCTGTACATCTAGCTGCCTTAAACTCCATCCTTTGGATACAACAATGGCTAACACAAGTCTGATAGTTGCAGCTTTCACAACGGGACTAAAGGTGTCCTCATAGTCAATGCCATAACGTTGCTTAAAGCCCTTTGCAACTAGACGTGCCTTATATCTGTCAATGGAGCCATCTGCCTTCTTCTTAATTCTATACACCCATTTGCAATCAATAATATTTTTACCTCTCTGATTTGGTACAAGATGCCAAGTCTTATTCCTCATGAGCGCAGAATACTCCTCATCCATTGCCTTTTTCCATTTAGGATCATCAAGTGCATTCTTCAACGATGTTGGTTCTCCTGAAATACACAACATTCCATATGGTATAGTTCCATCTTTCCTAATTTTAGGATTCCGTATACCTTTCTGTAGCCGGGTCATAACACGTGAAGAAACCTCTCGCTGCCCCGCTGGTATACTTGCCACAGAAGATCCAGGAGAATCTGCTGATGCAGTGGACTGATTTGTCGTCATATGCGCAGGGGATCCTGTGGCTTCTGGTGTGGCTGCCCCTCCTGCAGGCACTGGCGCAGAGGATCCGCCACCCGACCATGACTGGAGGCGCGCGTGATGCGGAGAGGATCTGGTCCCGCCGCTGGTCCCGTCTGACGCTGGCGCGCGGGGCGAGGGGGATTCGGCCCCGCTGCTGGTCCCGCCTGAAGCTGACGCGGCAGCACGGGAGTGGCCCGCCCTGGATCCAGGACTGGAGCCATCAGGGGCTTGATCCGAGGCGGATGCGGTCGCGTGATCCGAGATCTGCGCGCGTGCAGGGGTGGCAGGCGCCGCCAGATCTTCTTCGTCATCTGTGCCAGCTTCGTCTCCTTCCTCAGCATGAAATATAGGATCAAAACCAGCCATATTTTCGAGATCTTGGTCATTTTGAGCACCGTTTTCTCCAGGGACCTGCACAGGCATAAGAGAAAGACTAGTACCAGCAGGAATATCATCACATTGGTTAGTACAATTGTTGTCGCCCCCATGATCAAAAGACCGAAGATGTGAAGGAAGAAGAAGAATTTCTTTGCGGAGAAGTGCACCAGCATTAGGATGAAGGGATGCAAAGGGAAACACGGACTCATCAAATACAACATCTCTGGATATATACACCCGACCAGTAGGAACATCAAGGCACTTAACCCCTTTATGCATGGGGCTATAGCCTAAAAAGACACACCGTTTTGAGCGGAAAGCGAGTTTGCGTGTGTTGTAAGGCCTAAGATTGGGCCAACAGGCACAACCAAAAATACGAAGAGATGTATAGTTGGGTGTGACACCAAGAAGTCGTGTAATGGGTGTTTCAAATTTGATAACTTTACTTGGAAGCAAGTTGATGAGATATGTAGCAGTTAAGAATGCTTCATCCCAAAATTTAAGCGGCATGGAAGCATTTGCTAACAAGGCAAGCCCCATATCAACTATGTGACGGTGCTTTCTTTCAGCGGATCCATTTTTTTGGTGAGCATGAGGACAAGATACATGGTGTGATATGCCAAGCTTTTGAAAGAAAGAATTTAGTTTTTCATACTCACCACCCCAGTCACTTTGCATAGCAATGATTTTAGATTTCAGTTTGCGTTCAACAAGATTTTGGAAATTGAGGAAAACTTGGAATACATCAGATCGCTTTTTCAACAGATAAATCCAAGTAAATTTACTATAGTCATCAATAAAACTTACATAATAGGAAAATCTACCAACTGAAATAGGAGCTGGCCCCCATACATCTGAAAAGATAAGTTGTAAAGGGGCAGTAGACACACTAGTAGAAATTGGGTAAGGTAATTGATGACTTTTTGCTTGTTGACACGGATCACAAACTAACTCACTACTAGGCTCATAAGAGAGTTTATTTTTGCTAAGAACATATCTAACTATGACTGAAGATGGATGACCTAAACGACTATGCCACCTTGATGTAGATAGCTTGGTGACAATATTTGCTTGTTTATTGGACCATGAAGATGAAGATGATGATGATGATATGAGTGGGTAGAGTCCTCCCACGCACCGTCCTCTAAGAATGACTCTCCTTGTTTTCAAGTCCTTAACCAAGAAAAAATAAGGATAGAACTCAATAAGAACATTGTTATCAAGAGTGAATCGATGAACGGAAACAAGATTTTTAGAGGTTTGAGGAACATGCAAGACATTGGTCAAGTGTAAATTTTTCACGGGGGTTTTAACAATTGAACTGCCAATGTGTGTGATATCCATACCAGAACCGCTTGCCGTGCGAATTTGGTCGCCTCCATTGTACTTCTCCCGCATCGTCAACTTGTCAAGTTCACCTGTGATGTGGTTTGTTGCTGCACTGTCGGCGTACCAGTTGGTGTCCACGCCATAGGAGGCTGCATGCGCTTGCTTTTCTTCCTGGTCGTTTTCTTCATAACGCCACCAGCAAACTCGTGCACCTCCTGGATGGTGTCTGTAGCATATCTGACATTCTGGATAGTCATGCTGTTGCTCACGAGCCTGCTGTTGCTGTTGCTGTCGAGGACGGCCTCTGAATCCGCCGCCTCCATTGGAGGAAGACGACTGTTGGTCACCGCGGTCACCACGATCACCACGGCCACGGCCTCTTCCTCCACGCCCGCGAGATCTGCCACGGGACTGGCCACGGCCTCTGTAGACCGCATTAGCGGATGAATAGAACCCGCCTGAAGATGAGTCGCCTAGCATCTCCATCCTTTGATCAAAGGCAGCAATCTGGGCAAAAAGATCGTCGGCTGTGATGATGTTTTTGACAGCGCCGATCGCCGCCACCACGGGGTCGTAGTCGCGGTCCAGTCCGGCCAGAATATAGTCCACCATCTCCGGATCAGATACGGGACGACCTGCAGCAGCTAGTTCATCCCCAAGACTTTTCATCTTCGCCATATACGCCGAGCTTGACATCGAGCCCTTCTTGGTATTGGTGATGGCGATTCTCAGATTAGTAATCCGAGACTGAGATTGTGAGGCGAAGAGATTTGTCACCGTCGTCCAGAGCTCAAAGGTGGAATCTTTCCCAACAACTTGTGCAAGAATTTCTGGAGACATGGAATTGAGAAGGTATGATAGAACCTGCTGATCTTTGGCGATCCAGGGTCCGTATAGGGGATTCGGCTCTAGGGCCGTGGTCTTGTCTGCCTTCGTGATCTCCACCATCTTGGGTGGAGCGGCATCGGTGTTGTCCAGGAGCCCCATCACCTGTGCGCCTCGCAGGGCTGGGAGGACCTGCGTCTTCCAGAGGATGAAATTACCTCTTGCGAGCTTCTCAGACGGCGGTGATCCAAGGTTGAGGGAGACGCCGGCGGAGGAAGCCATGGAGACGATGATGTGTGGTTTCTAGGGTTTTGGATTGTGGCTAGATGTATGAGAAGAGGTGGCTCTGATTACCATGAAAGATATGAAGCGTTCCTACTCCATCGAGGGAGCCGCGTGGTAGTTTATATTGATGCGTGGCCGAAGCCTGGCTTGACGTACAAGGTTATGACAGAAGGAGTTTGGGTAGAATACAAGAGAAGGAAGGAGGTTGAGATTACAACTCTATATTCTAACAAACAGCTCTGCTGTGGAGTTATCAGAAGTTAGATCCACGTCTTCAGAGGTGCTTTGTATATTGCAGCTTGTTTCCGAAAGGACACAAGTATAACATTGATGAGTTGGTTCACCTGCTGATAGCAGAGGGGCTTGTTGATCCATGCAACCAGAAAAGGAGAATGGTAGATGTTGGAAAGGATTACCTCGATGAGATGGTTTCTGGGTCTTTCTTGCAACCATTTTCTGAAAGTTCTATGGACACATGCTACATTATGCATGATCTTCTTCATGATTTGGCAGAATCGCTCTCTAAAGATGATTGCTTCAGATTAGAAGATGATAGGGTGACAGAAATACCATGCACTGTTCGTCATCTGTCTGTTCGTGTTGAGAGTATGAAACAACATCAGCGCAGTATCTGCAGGATACATCATTTGCGCACTGTTATCTGCATCGACCCACTTACTGATGATGTGAGTGATCTTTTCCGTCAGGTACTGCAAAACTTGAAGAAGTTACGTGTACTCTATTTGTGCTTCTACAATAGTGACAAGCTACCTGAATCTGTTGGTGAGCTGAAGCACCTTCGGTATTTAAACCTCATTAGAACTTCCATTGCCGAATTGCCTGGATCATTATGTGTTCTTTACCACCTACAGTTACTTCTGTTAAACCATAAAGTCAAGAGTTTGCCTCACAAACTCTGCAAATTAAGCAAGTTATGGCATCTCGAAGGGTATCATGATCTGGGATACAGGATGTGTGAAGTAGCTCTGCCTCAAATCCCTTACATAGGCAGGCTAACTTCGCTCCAGCATGTTAAAGAATTTTGTGTGCAAAAGCAGAAGGGATGTGAGTTGCAACAGCTTAGAGACATGAAAGAGCTTGGTGGCAGTTTAAGAGTCAGAAACCTGGAGAATGTCACTGGAAAGGATGAAGCCTTAGAGTCAAAGCTGTATCAGAAAATTAATCTGGGAAGCTTGGCCCTTGTCTGGAGTTGCAATAATCGCATGAATGCAGATGGTAGTTTACAGTTGGAGATTCTAGAAGGTTTGATGCCACCGCCTCAACTGAAAGGCCTTGAAATCAAGGGTTACAAATCTGAGATGTATCCAAGTTGGTTACTTGATGGTTCGAATTTTGAGAATTTGGAATCTTTTAAGCTTGTTGATTGCAGTGTATTAGAAGGCCTGCCACTCAACACCAAGCTCTTCAGGCATTGCTCTGAACTGGAACTCGAGAATGTCTGGAGTCTGAAAACATTATCTTATCTTCCAGCAGCCCTCACATGCTTGTCAATTGGCAGTTGCCCACTGCTTACGTTTATTGCCAGTGATGAGCTAGATCTGCATGATCAGAGGGAGAACATCATGAGAGCAGACTACTTGGCATCACAACTTGCTTCGATATGGGAGGTGGATTCCGAATGGGAAATTAAGAGAATATTAACGTCACAACATTCATCTCTGAAGCAAATGATGACTTTAATGGATTCTGATATGTCACATCTTCAAACCATTGCAAGTGCTGTAGAAAGAGATAATGACGAGGTAATACTGACAGATGATATCATTAAGGCATGGATATGTTGCCATGAACAGAGGATGAGATTCATTTATGGAAGAAGCATCGGCTTGCCATTGGTTCCACCATCAGGTCTTTGTCACCTTCATCTTTCTTCACGCAGTATTACAAATAGGGCATTAGCTGTTTGCCTTGATGGTCTCACGTCACTGAGATGTTTGGTCTTAATGGAGATCATGACTTTAAGTACACTTCCATCACAAGTGGTTCTCCAACATTTGACAAAGCTCGAACGCCTTCACATTTCATCCTGCTGGTGTCTCAGATCATTAGGGGGGTTACGAGCTGCTACCTCTCTTTCAGATTTTCAATTGTTTGACTGCCCTTCTTTAGACTTGGCATGTGGAGCAGATTTTTTGCCATTATCTCTTGAGACGCTCCGGATACGGCGTTGCATGGTTGCAGCTAATTTTTTCAGTAGTGTCCTGCCACTCCTGGGGGATCTTACCATGTTTGTCTGCAGAAGCTCTGCATCTTTGTCAGTTGGTCGTCTGACCTCCCTTGAATCACTATCACTGGGAGTTTTACCTGATCTGTGCTCTCTTGAAGGACTGTCTTCCCTGCAACTTCACTCTGTACATTTCACAGATGTCCCGAAGCTTGACGCAAACTGCATTTCACAGTTCCGGGTCCAGAGATCTATATATGTTAGCAGCCCTGTGATGCTCAACCACATGCTCTCGGCTGAAGGCTTTACAGTTCCGCCATTTCTGTCTCTTGAAGGACTCAAGGAATCCTCTGTTCTATTTGAAGAATCTGCAAATTTCAAATCTGTCAAATGCTTGAGGTTATTTGATTGTGAAATGAGTTCCCTGCCAATAAATCTGACGTGCTTCTCCAACCTGATGGAACTCGAAATCTTTAGGTGTCCCAATATATCATCTTTACCAGATCTGCCATCCTCCCTCCAGCACTTAGTCGTGTGGGAGTCTGAACTCTTGCAGAAGAGCTGCCGAGTACCTGATGGAGAAAGCTGGCCAAAGATTCAGCATATCCGCTGGAAGAAATTCACATAATTACAGAATGACAACTCCAAAGAAATCGAAAGGTAAAGGTTCGTCCAGTGCCTTTGCAAATATAAACTTTTACACTATTTGTTTCATTTCTGGCCTTTCAGATACTTCATTTGTTTCAAAGTTCCATTCGTTCATTTATTTCATGCAGCAGGCCCACCATCTTTCCCCTCCGGCGATCTCGTCTCCACCCACTGCCTGTCAAGAGTTGGAGTGCCTCAAGCTCACTTGCACTTCAGCTCTCTCTACATTGTCTCGCTGGTGCCGAACTGCCGCCCCCTCGGTTTCCTTCTTCGTCGACCGTTGCATGCGTCGCTTTTCCACTCTGGACGGCTCCACTAACAGTGTTGGGCCGCGTATGTACATATGAATCTTTTATCTGTAATTATTGTCGCTATTTAGTTATCAACCTATCATGTCTTGGCGTGCTACTTTTGATTGGTGATGCCTGTGACAGTTATCTCTTGTGCGCTGAAATATCTCTTGTACTTGGATATCTTGTGTACTGCTGGAGCGTTAAATTCCATAATTCCATATTATAGTTGAACTTATGCAGATTGTTTTGGGTAAAGGAGTAAAGGTAACTGGTGGCATCTTTGTCAAGACCGAGTGAATAGTTAAACTCACTTTAAGATGACAAACCTGAAGTCTGAGGATATTGCTAGCGAATACGGTGTCTTGTGAAAAGTTTTACCAGAATGGTGGTCACCGTGTGATTCAGCGAAAGCGCAAGAGGGCGCCAACAGTTTGGGTTGGTTCGATTGGAGCTGAAACTGAACCAAGACGAGCTGGGTCTCTTCATTGCAAGTGTTACGTGGAGATACACGGCCTTTTCGTTGAGAATCTTGTTTGGATACGGTGGAATATACTTGAAAATATGAACAGGAATAAAGCCATTGACACAAATGGAGAATCTTCGGAGAGTCGAGGAAGACGAAGGGGGTTTCATTTTGGACAATATACAGTGGCCAAGCCCTGGTGCACGGTCAGCTGAACAGAAGGGCCATAGGCCATCAAATCTTGATGCCCCTGGTTCCTGCCGTACGTTCCTTCCATTCTGGCAACCACCTCGCCGTCCACGTCTGCGATGCCACCCTGTCTCGGAACCTCCACAAGAATACCGAAAGGATTTCACCTGCAGAAGGCAGAAGCAGTGGAAAACAAATTCAACACTGTAAGTTGATAATCAGGTTGACAGGGAAAAGATGGCTATAACCTTGAGATGTGTAACATGCGCCAAAGCCAAAAGATCAGCCTTCGGAGAGTCTTTCAGTAGGACTGCATCCATGTAGCCACCTGAGAACTGGATTGCAACCACACATAAATTACACCAATGCTTTCAGAGATAAGGCCTTCATCGTGGTCGTGGTGGAGAAACAGAAAGAGACTACCAGCTCCCAGTGCACCTCTGGATCAGATATTTTGCTCTCTTGTCTTGCTGTTTGGTGAGATCTGGTTCTGATCTCTCTTGTATTACAACACTTCTCCAGTCTTCCTCGTCGGCAACCTTGTATTACCGTCGCCGCCGTGGTGGCTCCAGCAACGATTCTGTCCTTCACTCCTTCACCTCTGTAAGCATTCCAACCTTCTATGCTATTTAGTTTCCCCTGTACAAATAGTTCCGTCCACACAAAAGAAACAAATTTGCTTGCAGGGCTCTGCTTAAATTTTTCTTTTCTTTTCTAACATACTGCAGTAGACTAATTTGTTTTGTTGTTCTCTGCTCCAACGGGTATTTTCATCTAATTGATGTATCCCATTGTTTGCCTCATAAAGTCTTGCTAATTCCCTGCCATTTTATCTATTTACACAGCAGCCAAGATCTTTGTGTTCGCAGTGCAAAAGCCATTTCCCAATCCCCAACGAACAGTTCCCTGTGATTCCATGACTGGGGTGGCGCTGGCTGGCTTAAAGTTAGCAGCATCGCCAATCCTGAAGAGGCTCCTCGCTGATGCTTCAATGTTCCTTGGAGTGGACATGGCAAGTGAGCTCCATGAACTGGAGACCACAATTATGCCGCAGTTCGAGCTGATGGTTGAAGCAGCTAACAAAGGCAACCACATGGTCAAGTTGGACAAATGGGTCCAAGAGCTCAAAGAAGCCTTCTACAAGGCTGAGGATCTGCTGGACATGCATGAGTATGACCTCCTTGAGCGCAAAGCAAAGAATGGGGGAGATTGCCCACCACCGTGTGCCTCATCCATCAGCACTATTTTGAAGCCTCTGCGTGCTGCATCTAACAGATTATCCAATGTTCGCCCAAAGAACAAGAAGCTACTTTTCCAGCTGAATGAATTGAAGGCCATTCTAGCGAAAGGGAAGGGGTTCTCTGAGCTTCTTTGTTTACCAGGTGGTAACAGTGCAGAGAGGCCCATTATTCCTCAGGCCACATCATTACCACCTCTGAAAGTAATAGGTCGTGACAAGGATCGCGATGATATAATAAACCTTCTTACCGAGCCGGTTGCTGTTGAAGCTAATTCAGCTGTATATGCGGGTTTGGCCATTGTCGGAGCAGGAGGTATGGGAAAATCCACCTTGGCACAACATGTTTACAATGACAAGAGGGTGCAAGAACATTTTGATGTCAGGATGTGGGTGTGCATCTCACGCAAACTTGATGTCCATCGTCATACACGGGAGATAATCGAATCCGCAGCTAAGAGGGAGTGCCCACATCTTGATAATCTGGATACTCTCCACTGCCAATTAAGGGACATACTGCAGAAGTCTGAGAAATTCTTGCTTGTATTGGATGATGTTTGGTTTGATGATTCGAGTAGTCAGATGGAATGGGACCAACTGCTAGCTCCCCTAGTTTCTCAGCACAAGGGAAGCAAAGTTTTGGTAACTTCTCGACGGGATACATTTCCTTCCGCTCTTTACTGTGAAAAGGTGCTCCGCTTGGAAAGCATGGAAGATACTCAGTTCTTGGCACTCTTCAAATACTATGCCTTCACTGGAGCACAAATTGGAGACCCTCCGTTGCTTGAAAGGCTAGAAGCGATTGCAGAGGAGATAGCTAAAAGGCTTGGACAGTCTCCTTTGGCTGCAAAAGTTGTTGGTTCCCAGTTGAAAGGGAAAATGAATATCTCTGCCTGGAAAGATGCTCTGACTTTAAAGATTGACAACTTAAGTGAGCCTAGAATGGCTCTGTTGTGGAGTTATCAGAAGTTAGATCCACGTCTGCAGAGGTGCTTTGTATATTGTAGTTTGTTTCCAAAAGGACACAGGTATAACACTGATGAGTTGGTTCACCTGCTGATAGCGGAGGGGCTTGTTGATCCGTGCAACCAGAACAGGAAAATGGTAGATGTTGGAAAGGATTACCTCAATGAGATGGTTTCTGGGTCTTTCTTGCAACCATTTTCTGAAAGATTTTTGGACACATCCTACATTATGCATGATCTTCTTCATGATTTGGCAGAGTCGCTCTCTAAAGAAGACTGTTTCAGATTAGAAGATGATAAGGTGACAGAAATACCATGCACCGTCCGTCGTCTGTCTGTTCGTGTTGAGAGCATGAAACAACATCAGCTCAGTATCTGCAAGCTACATCATTTGCGCACTGTTATCTGCATTGACCCACTTACAGATGATGTGAGTGATGTTTTTAGTCAGGTACTTCAAAACTTGAAGAAGTTACGTGTACTCTATTTGTGCTTCTACAATAGTAACAAGCTACCCAAATCTGTGGGTAAGCTGAAACACCTTCGGTATTTAAACCTCATTAAAACTTCCATTGTCGAATTGCCTGGATCATTATGTGCTCTTTACCACCTACAGTTACTCCTGTTGAACCATAAAGTTACGAGTTTGCCTCACAAACTATGTAAATTAAGCAAGTTACGGCATCTTGAAGGGTATCGTGATCTGGGATATAGGATGTATGAAGTAGCTCTGCCTCAAATCCCTTATATAGGCAAGCTAACTTTGCTCCAGCATGTTGAAGATTTTTGTGTGCAAAAGCAGAAGGGGTATGAGTTGCGGCAGCTCAGAGACATGAAAGAGCTTGGTGGCAGTTTAAGAGTCAGAAATCTCGAGAATGTTACTGGAAAGAATGAAGCCTTAGAGTTGAAGCTATATCAGAAAAGTCATCTTAGAAGCTTGGCCCTTGTCTGGAGTTGCAATAATGGCAAGAATGCAGATGACAGTTTACAGTTGGAGATTCTAGAAGGTTTGATGCCACCGCCTCAACTGAAAGGCCTCGAGATCAAGGGTTACAAATCTGCCACGTATCCAAGTTGGTTACTTGAGGGTTCATATTTTGAGAATTTGGAATCTTTTAAGCTTGTCGATTGCAGTGCCTTAGAAGGCCTGCCACTCAATACTGAGCTCTTCAGGCATTGCTCAAAACTAGAGCTCGAGAATGTCTCGACTCTGAAAACGTTATCGTGTCTTCCGGCAGCCCTTACATGCTTATCAATTAGCAGTTGCCCACTGCTTATATTTATTACCAGTGATGAGCTAGAACAGCATGATCAGATGGAAAACATCATGAGAACAGACCACTTGGCATCACAACTTGCTTCGATATGGGAGGTGGATTCTGAATCGGAAATTAAGGAAGTATTATTGTCAGAACATTCATCTCTGAAGCAAATGATGACATTAATGGATGCTGACATGTCACATCTTCAAACGATTGCATGTGCTGTAGAAAGAGAGCACGGTGAGTTAGTTCTGGAAGATGATATCATTAAGGCATGGATATGTTGCCACGAGCAGAGGATGAGATTCATTTATGGTAGAAGCATCAACTTGCCGTTGGTTCCACCATCAGGTCTTCGCGCACTTCGTCTTTCTTCATGCAGTGTTACAGATGAGGCATTAGCTGTTTGCCTTGGTGGTCTCACGTCACTGAGAAGTTTGTTCTTAATGGAGATCATGACTTTAACTACACTTCCGTCACAAGCGGTCTTCCAACATTTGACAAAGCTGGACTTTTTGTTCATCAGATATTGCTGGTGTTTCAAGTCATTAGGAGGCTTACGATCTGCTACCTCTCTTTCAGAAGTTAGATTGATTTCCTGCCCTTCTTTAGATTTGACACATGGAGCAGGTTTATTGCCGTCGTCTCTTGAGGAGCTCTGTATATACCAGTGCATGGTTGCAGATAATTTCTTCAGTAGTGACTTGCCGCACCTGAAAAGTCTTAGCATGTTTGGCTGTAGAAGCTCCACTTCCTTGTCTATCGGTCATCTGAATTCCCTTGTATCCTTATCAGTGGGAGGTTTCCCTGATCTGTGCTTTCTTGAAGGCTTGCCATTCTTGCAACTTCACCACGTACATTTGACAGATGTCCCGAAGCTCGTTGCGAACTGCATTTCACAGTTTCGGGTGCAGCAATCACTCTATGTTAGCAGCCTCGTGATGCTCAACCACATGCTCTGGGATGAAGGTTTTACAGTTCCACAATTTCTGTCTCTCGAAGGATGCAAGGAATCATCCGTTTCATTTGAAGAATCTGCAAAATTCACATCCGTCAAGTGCCTTAGATTATGTCGGTGTGAAATGAGGTCCCTACCAGGAAATCTGAAGTGCTTCTCTAGTCTGAGGACACTCGATATTTATGACTGCCCCAACATATCATCTTTATCAGATCTGCCATCCTCCATCCAACATATATGTGTTTGGCGTTGTGAACGCTTGAACGAGAGCTGCCAAGCGCCTGACGGAGAAAGCTGGCCAAAGATTGCGCATATCCGCTGGAAGGATTTCAGATGAACTGTTGTTCGGATATGCAACTTCCAAATAAATGGAAAGGTAAATGATCCACCGGCCTTTGCAAAGATAGTCCTTTTGACGATTGCACAAAAAAAAGACAGCCTTTCGTAATAGTTATTTCATTTTTTATCTTTCATATGCTTCATTTATTTCAAGTTGCATTTATTCTTTTGTTTCAAACAGTAGGTGCGAGATCTATCCCCTCCGGTGACCATGTCCACTGCGTGTCAAGAGTTGGAGTGCCTCAAGCTCACCCACCCTGCAACTCTCTCGCCTCTCGGCATTGCCACTACTGTCGACCCCTCAGGATCCCTTCTACGTTGATTACTGAATGCATCATTCTTCCAGTTTCTCCACCCCCTGGACTGAGACATGCATCTAAATTTGAATCTTGTTCTACAGTTATTGCCGTTGTGTTGTTATCCTGTCTTAGAAGTGTTGCTTCTGATTGGTGATGCTTGGACTAGCAGTTATCCCTTGTGTGCTGAGATGCACTTGGATGGTTGTAACAGTTATCTATCCCTTGTTAGCTGAGATTCACTTAGATATCCCATGTACTTCTGGAGGGCCTCTTTGTCAAGACTGAGCGAATAGTTGAATATACGCTCACTTTGAAGATGAGAACTGTGAAGTCTGAAGAAGTTGCTAGCGCCAACCAATTCAGACTCACAACTATGAAGATAAAGGTAAAGTTTTCCCCAGTCCCTTTGTGAATATGAACTTTTGTAATATTTGTTTCATTTTTTTATCTTTCAAATGCTTCATTATTTTCAAAGTTTCATTCGTTCATTAATTTCATTCAGCAGGCCCAACATCTTTCCCCTCCAGTGACCTCGCCTCCACCTGCTGCTTGTCAAGTTGAGTGGAGTGCCTCGATCTCACTTGCACTTGAGCTCTCTCTGTCGCCTTGATCGATTGCTGCATGCATTGCTCTTCCGTTCTGAACTGCTCCACCACCAGTGATGCAACGCTTGTCTAAACTTGAATATCTGTTCTACAGTTATTGTTGTTAATTTGTTATCCTGTCTTGGCGTGTTACTTTTGATTGGTGATGCTTGTAAAAGTTACCCCTTGTGAACTGAGATGTACTAGCATTCAATAATTTCATTTATTATCTCGGTCCCAAGAAGTTTGTCTTAGATTTATCTAGATACAGTTCAACGAAAGCACAACGGGGCGCCAACGGTTTGGGTTGGTTCGGACTGGAACTGAAACTGAAGCAAGACGAGGCACATTGTGTTGCTCAGAGACGTGTGACCTTTTCTTGAAAGAATCTTGTTTTGAATACAATAGAGTACTTTTTTAAATATGAACAAGAATAAAGCAATTGACACAAAGGGACAATCTCTGGTGAGAGGAGAAGGCAAGGTAGGATCATTTGGGACAGTATACAGTGGCCAAGCCCTGGTGCACGGTCAGCTGAACAGAAGGGCCATAGGCCATCAAATCTTGATCCTGGTTCATGCCGTACGTTCCTTCTCCTCTGGCAACCACCTCGCCGTCCACGTCTACGATGCCGCCCCTTTTGGGATCCTCCATGAGCTGCCCCGGCGATAACCGGAAGGATTTCACCTGCAAAGTCGAACCTACTGATGAACCACTCTATGGAAGAAGGTTGGCACGGTGTTCTGAATCGCTGCAAGTTGATGATCAGGTTGACAGGGAAAAAATGGCCAACCTTGAAATATGTAACATGTGGCGATTTCACGTAGCTCCCATCGCTCATCTTCAGCAGCAGAGCCAAAAGATCGGCCTTCGGACAGTCTTTCAGTATGACCGCGTCCATGTAGCCATCTGAGAACTGCATCAAATCCACACCATGCATCTCACGCAAATTACACCAGCACTCAACTGGCAGGTTTTGCAGAAGCAAATGGAGCTTGATCAGATTAGCACTGTGAAACAAAGACAAAAATATTACCTTGGCTTCAGGAGCTGCCATGGCGTTTTCAGCAGCCCATGGCACGTTGTAGACGCACACACCCACAAATGGGCCATCGATGGATCTCCAGTCTGAACATTGAAACTCGGCCGTAGGGCCTTGATAAGAGCACACCTGAGATTCCCCGTTTCGCTCCACGATGGGAGTCTCGGCTTGCTTGACAGGATCTCCGTATGCCTCGTAGCCCGGGGCAGGCACAAAGTGGACGCTTCCGCGGTATCGGCGCAAGTTCATTATGCGAACCAGAGCCTGGGATCAATCAAGAAGAATTCGTTACGACGTGAGGCATTAGTTTCCAAAGATTTCAAGTTATCACAAAAGAACCAACATTACGCACATAAAAGTCGAACCGTGCGCTCCCCATCCACCTGTATTTCTCAGACTCGATGTCAACATCGGCCACCAAACCTGAAAATTTTCTGAAAGAGTCAGATCCGGCATCCACAGAAGCTCCATTGGAATTTAACAGACATTGTTGATTTCATGGTTGCGTTTGCGTACCCCAAGTAGTTGACAGCACGCTGAAAACGGTTTTTTCCCCTTGCACTATGGTGCAGACATCCAAGGCCTGCTTGTGACCTGTGCAACGAGAAAGTTGTTGCTTCCATCAGATTCCTCTATTTGAAACTGCCGTGGGAACTTATATTATGTGCCTGAAAGCATACTATGACCTGTGATAATGGCAAATACGGCGTCTGAAACTGAGCACGTCTCGCTGGCAGCATGGAGAAGTGATTTGGCCATGCCGTTTCCTGTGCCTGCATAAATAACAAACCAACACACATGTTTGAGCACTTTCAGAATTTTTGGTGCTACTAGTGTCTGACCAAAGATCGATTATTATTCAGCTAAAAAAAGATCAGTTGTTCTTTACCAGCTGGAACTATGCCAATTGGCATCTTTATTGCTTCCTCCCAGTCTGATCTTTGCAGAATCCCATTCACAAGCTACATGCCAGAAATGTCAGCATGGGAAGAAAAAAAGTAGGAACCTTACAGTATGTACGACATTTTCTATGGCTTTTTTAGTAGAATTTTTTTTCTTTTCTTTTTTTCTGCGAATGAGTAGATTTTTTTACTTTTTTTTTGAACTGCGAATGAGTAGATTTGAAGGCACTATAAACTGCTCAAGCTAAACTTGCATCAGATGCTGTTAATATCTCTCAGTGTTTTTTTTTTGTTTATCGCCAGCCTTCCAGACAAGATGATCAAGTGAGATCCGTCCACTAACATTATGTGAAGTCAACTCGCAGCTGCATATCGAATGCCAACTACAACTACTGGAGTCAACGCTGTGGATTCGACCCCTGCCATGCCGTGCCATGCCAACCATGCAAACCTAAACATGGTACAGAATATTTGCGTGTTACCAACCTCCACGAGGACGCCATCGCCGCTGACGCAGACGATCCCGTCGTATCTTGCAAGGTCGAGAGAGGACGCCACCTCCCGGGCATGCCCCCGGTACCGGGTCTCTGAAACAAATTAACGAAACCACGGACCAGGCGGATCAAAATAACTGTAAGGGCCAAGAATGTCGGAGAAGAAGATCGCGCTTCAAAAAACCATGGAAAACCAACCTTACCTTGCATTGTGACTTCGACGCCGGCGGCTTCGAACAGGGGTTTGATTTCTGCCTCGTAGATCTTGCTCGCCCGTCTTTTGCCTCCGTAGGGGTTGATGAGGACGAACAATCTCTTGGGCCGCCCTGTTATCGCATGTTCATCACGAAATATGAATCGTTTACGCTAATGGAACATCGCATTACAAACTACTAGAAACAGCTGATATAATCCCGTAAAAAATTGCTAGTTGATGAAACAGAGGAGCAGCTCGTCACATCTAGATTGGAGAAGCACTGTGCATCATCAGAGGAATCGAAAAATCCGAGACAGTTTGGGCTGGTCGCGTGGTGACCGGCACGACGGACGGAGGCACCAAAGGCACGTACCTATCGAGTCCAAGCAGCCCCGTAGCGTCTCGCCCCAGGCCGCGGCCGCGCCCTCGCCGTCGGCCATCTCGAAGACGTACTCCCTCCTGCGCCTCTTCCCTCTCGCCTTGGCGCGCGACGGCGGTCTCGCGGCATCCTCCGCCACGAAGGCCCTGACGACGACCTCCTTGCCGCTCGCCTCGGCTCCGAGCACGTCGGCCTCCAGCGAGAGGCTCCTCTCCGCCGTGGCCCTAGCGCAGCGCCACCGGAGCTCGGGGCAGCCGCCTGTGGTGGAGAGTGTCGCTTCGGCCGTCGTGCCGTTCACGCGGACCTTGGTCGCGGCGCCGGCGCCGCCGGTGGCTTGCCGGTCTTCCATGGCGGGGGGAGAGAGCTAGAAGAGCGTGAGATGCGAGATGGATTTTTTGGCGCCGAGTTGGGCCCGCGCGGCAGGGCAGAGGAGTCGGAGATATGGAGATGCGGATCGATCTACGTACGCGTGGGTTTCCGACTTGCGTGCTGCTCGCGGGCTCCACCGCTCCAGTGATCGGCTTGTTGCCGTGGGTTTGAGTATTTTGGACGAGAAGAAAATGTACGTTATCTTTTAGAGTATTTTTTTTTACTTTGGAAAAGAAAACGTACGTTGTCAATAGAGCGTTTTAAAACTTTTTTTTAAGAAAGCCTCCGATTTTTCATCATGCCATGATAGTACTGAAGGAAATATGCTCCAGAGGAAATAAGAAAGTTGTTCTTTTATATTTTCTTATTTATGATAAATGTTTATTATTCATGTTAGAATTGTATTGATCGGAAACCTAAATATATATGTGAATACATAGACAAACACTGTGTCTCTAGTGAGCCTCTACTTGACTAGCTTGTTGATCAAAAATGGTTAAGGTTTTCTAATCATAGACATGAGTTGTCATTTGATAACAGGATCACATCATTTTATTGCTATTGTTTTTTTCATGTCAAATACATATTCTTTCGATTATGAGATTATGCAACTCCCGGATACCGGAGGAATGCCCTATGTGCTATCAAACGTCACAACGTAATTGGGTGATTATAAAGATGCTCTACAGGTATCTCCGAAGGTGTTTGTTGAGTTGGCATAGATCGAGATTAGGATTTGTCCGAGTATCGGAGAGGTATCTATGAGCCCTCTCGGTAATACGCATCATAAGAAGCCTTGCAAGCAAAGTGACTAATGAGTTAGTTACATGATGATGTATTACAGAACGAGTAAAAAGGCTTGCCGGTAACGAGATTGAACTAGGTATGAAGATACCGACAATCAAATCTCGGGCAAGTAACATACCGACAGACAAAGGGAATAACGTATGTTGTCATAACGGTTCGGCCAATAAAGATCTTCGTAGAATATGTAGGAGCCAATATGGGCATCCAGGTTCCGCTATTGGTTACTGACCTGAGAGGTGTCTTGGTCATGTCTACATAGTTCTTGAACCCATAGGGTCCGCGCGCTTAACATTCGATGACGATATTGTATTATATGAGTTATGTGATTTGATGATCGAATATTGTTCGGAGTCCCGGATGAGATCACGAACACGACGAGGAGTCTCGAAATGGTCAAGAGGTAAAGATTGAGATATAGGTGATACGTCTCCAACGTATCTATAAATTTTTATTGTTCCGTGCTATTATATTATCTGCTTTGGATGTTTTATATCCATTAATATGCTATTTTATATTATTTTTGGGACTAACCTATTAACCTAGAGCCCAGTGTCAGTTTCTATTTTTTTCTTGTTTTTGAGTTTTGCAGAAAAGGAATACCAAACGGTGTTCAAATGGACTGAAACCTTCGCGATGATTTTTCTTGGACCAGAAGACACCCAGAGACTTGGAGATCAAGTCAGAAGAGCCGCGAGGATGCCACAAGGGGGGAGGGCGCGCCCCCCATCCTTGTGGGCCCCTCGTGACTCCCCTGGCCTAATTCCTTCGCCTATATATTCACATATATTCCCAAACCACCAGAGGCATCCACGAAAACACTTTTCCACCACCGCAACCTTCTGTATCCGTGAGATACCATCTAGGGACCTTTTTCGGCACCCTGCCAAAGGGGATTCGATCATGGAGGGCTTCTACATCAACTCTATTGCCCTTCTGATGAAGCGTGAGTGATTTACCTCATACCTACAGGTCCATAGCTAGTAGCTAGATAGCTTCTTCTCTCTCTTTGATTCTCAATACCATGTTCTCCTTGATGTTCTTGGAGACCTATTCGATGTAATCTTCTTTTGCGGTGTGTTTGTCGAGATCCGATGAATTGTGGATTTATGATCAACTTATGTATGAATACTAGTTGAATCTTCCTTGAATTCTTATATGCATGATTTGTTATCTTTGTAATTGAAAATGTGTTATATCAACTAGAGGGGGGGGGGGGTGAATAGGCGATTTTTATGAAATCTTCACTGAGGAATTTCAGGGTGGGGAAATTCCTGAGTGAAGAACTACTTGCAGCGGAATAAGTACTCAGAAGTAAACATAACAGAACATGAGCATGGTCTTCATGATGAAATGAAAAACAAGCACAGAGTACAGAAAGCGTAAACACAGGATGAAGACAAACAGACTGAAAGTGCGTTATATCGACTAGAGGGAGGGTGAATAGGCGATTTTTATGAAAGTCTTCGAAACATGGAAGTTTCGAAGACAAACGATAGAAATAGACCTATTACCATGCAGCGGAAGGTAGACTACACTAGGCAAACCATAGTCAAGTATTCAATGAAGTGAAAGCACTATGACCTATAGCAGCTAGGTAGTTAGGATCAGGTAGAAAGATATTATGAAGCCAAACAGAATACACAGTCACTCAGTGAAGACAAAAGATAGTGCAATCATACAATGACTTCACAAGGACCAACAGTAAGTAAAGGGAAAGGAAGGATGAAACTAGTGACTCGTTGAAGACAATGATTTGTTAGACCAGTTCCAGTTACTGTGACAACTGTACGTCTGGTTAGGGCGGCTAGGTGTTTAAACCTGAGGACACACAGTCCCGGACACCCAGTCCTGAACACGCAGCTCAGGACACCCAGTCCTCATCGTATTCCCCTTGAGCTAAGGTCACACAGACCTCGCCCAATCACTCTGGTAAGTCTTCAAGGTAGACTCCCAAACCTTCACAGACTTTGTTCACCGGCGATCCACAATGACTCTTGGATGCTCAGAACGCGACACCTAACCAGCTAGAGGATTCACAGTCCTCAAGTGTAATAAGTCTTCAGATCACACAGATAGGAAGACTTAAATGATGCCTAACACTCTTTGACTCTGGGTGGTTAGGGCTTTATCCTCACAAGGAATTCTCTCTCAAAGGCTTTGAGGTGGGTTGCTCTCAAGCGACAAAAGCCATACTTTAACTCTGAGCAGCCAACCGTTTATGGTTGTAGGGGGTGGGCTATTTATAGCCACTAGGCAACCCAACCTGATTTGTTCGAAATGACCCTGGGTCACTAAGGAACTGACACGTGTTCCAACAGTCAGATTTCAAACACACACGTCAACTTTACTTGGGCTACAAGCAAAGCTGACTTGTCCGACTCTGGACAAGATTCGCTCTCATAGTCTTCACTCGAAGACATAGGTTTTGGTTAAGCATCACTTCAATCATTCTGACTGGTTCTCTTGGACCCCACTTAACAGTACGGTAGTTCCTATGACTCAATAAAGAAGAAAAAAGAACTACGAAAGATCTAAGTCTTCGAGCTCCATAGGCTTCATGCGATGTCTTCTCTTGTCATAGTCTTCAATGTGAGTATCTTCACATACCACCTTTGACATCAATGTCTTCATACATTTTTAGGGTTCATCTCTGTAGGAAAACCGAATCAATGAGGGACTTCTACGTGTGTTATCCTGCAATTCTCACAAACACATTAGTCCCTCAACTAGGTTTGTCGTCAATACTCCAAAACCAACTAGGGGTGGCACTAGATGCACTTACAATCTCCCCCTTTTTGGTGATTGATGACAAACTAGTTGAAGTTTTCAACAGGGAATATAATATGTGAAATTGTAAAGGATAAGGAATTGTCTTCATAAGTTGCAAGGGCTCCCCCTGAAGATGTGCATATAAGTAATTTGCTTTTGGAATGCAAATGCACATGGCAGGTTGTACTTGTGGAGATCCTCTTCAACTTATGATGACAATTCATTATGCTTGTGAAGGTATGTGAAGATAATGACATGCATAATGGAAAATGGACGTCTGCAAAATGATCTAAGTGCAGAGTTTATCGTCGCACATGCGGAATTTATCATCGCATCACAAAGTAGCAAATAAGTAGCAGACGACCATCGAGTTTAAGTGTTACAACTCAAAGAACCAAATGTATCAAAACGAGAGTTGTAAGCACTAGGAAAAATATAAAGCAACCGCCCATATGGACCCGCTTGAAGACTATCAAACTCATATGCTTCTCCCCCTTTTGTCAGTAAGGACCAAAAAGGTTTGAAGACATAGAGCATCTACTCGTTCCCATGAAGAGTAGGTGAATCAGCAGGGTCGTCGGTGGTGTTCGGCGGTGCAGAAGAACTTGGAGCAGTGTCGAAGCGTGCTGAAGGAGGCGGCGGTGAAGTAGCATCGTCTTCGTCCTCGATCACTCTGGCATTCACAGTTGCCGCAGAGGAAGAGAACTCAGAGTCTTCAATAGATGGAGTTCGTCGCAACACTGCCCTTCGAGGAGGTGTGGAGTCAAACTTGAAGCGTTCAGAGAAGCCATCCTCTTGAAGATCATCTTCAGAGCACATAAGCGTCAACCCTTTCCATGTGCGTCAAGAGGTTTCATGGGCAACAAAGACATTCTTGGTGGCAAGATTGCGAATGCGGTTGACATCCACCAAGAGGCTTTGCATTTGGCGCTTCAGCCAGTCATGATGCCTATTCTGTTTTTGATGAAGAGCCACCAGAAGCTCTCGGTCATTGAGAACCTGATATCGCTTCTTGGGTCATTGGGCAATAGTGCTTTCGGTGGCTTCAGTAAAGGCACGATGAGGTGCACGTGTAGTTCCAGCCAGAGGATAAACATGAGTGACTGCTTCAACTTCTTCAATGTTCTGAGAGAAACTTTGATGCTCCGCATTCTGAAGACTAAGAGGCTCCTTGGAAATCTCAGGATAAATGGCTTCAACGGACATATCCACATCAGGCAGAAAGATCTGATGATTGCGAGCAGATGGCTGATATGAGATACCGGAGTGGAGTTTAATCAGCCGCATTATCCATGGAGCGTAGAACTTCAAGCCAAAAAGATTAGAGCCTGATGCAGCAAGTTGGCGGATGAAGAAGTCTTGTGCATTGAAGCATTTGCCATGAAGAATATAGAAGACCAAAGT